GCGGGGGCTGGCAAGCCAATAAGCCTGGAATGTGGAATCCTTCCTCACTCACCTCTCAACCTGGTGTAAATTGCCCCTACCTCCTTGAAGCTATGTCAAACTGCCCCTAAAGAAAACTTTGTGTTGTACTGCTTGAGGCTGCGATTTGCAGTCAAGTGGATGCAACACCATGATGTAAAAAGTCTGTGCCAGAACTTATGACTGCTTCTGTATACATAAAGCAGACAGCTTTCTTGCATGGTCCACAATGATCTTGAGATTGTAGTGGTCCGTGTCTCTTCTCTCTATGCCTATTTCATGCATCTTTCCCCAGCTCTGAACTCAGGTGGAGATGGACTCTGGCAGGGTAACTCCACTTGGGACATGTTCTTAGTCCCCAGAAGGTTGGTTGCAGTCTGTCAAGGGAACAGAGTTGCATACATATTAGAGCAGGGGTAGCTGAGGGCATGTTGGACAGGGGAAGAATGACTTCTGGGGTCATAAAACAACTTGGCCACTCTACCATCAAGAAGACAGGTAAGGAGAAATGGCTTCCTCAGAAAAAACAGAGGGTATATCTGAATCAGGCCAAGGCACCTTCCCACATGGGGGGCCTGCACTGGACCAAGTAGCAGCAACTGCTGCTTGCTGGTGCATATAAGTCTGGTGATAGTGGACATACTTGGCTGGGCTAGTCCACAGTAGATCTCTGTGTCAGAACAAGGATGGGCCACATCAGGAGGAAGCACAGCAACCACCAGAATGCAAAAGAACTGGATTTGGGGGCTGGAATCTGTGGGGCATTATGGGCTCACCTCTGTGGGATCACTGCACCTGCTGCTTTACATGAAGAGCTGGGGATGGAAAAGGCCAAGACCGTCCTGACCACAAACTCATCTGACAAAAACCCACCTGACGGGCCCGGCGCGGTGGCGCAGGTGGTTAAAGGTCCTCGCCTTGCCGCCCGGGATCCCATATGGGCGCCGGTTCTAATCCCGGCAGCCCCGCTTCCCTTCCAGCTCCCTGCCTGTGGCCTGGGAAAGCAGTCGAGGACGGCCCAAAGCTTTGGGAACCTGCACCCGCGTGGGAGACCCAGAAGAGGCTCCTGGCTTCGGATCGGCATAGCATCGGCCCGTTGCGCTCACTTGGGGAGTGAATCATCGGACGGAAGATCTTCCTCTCTGTCTCTCCTCTCTGTATATCCGCCTTTCCAATGAAAAAATAATAAAAATAAATCTTTAAAAAAAAAAAAACCCACCTGACACTCAATGGGAGCTGAGATATGAGGAGACAAATTGGGACCAGCACATGCAAGGGCCAGGAGTAAGAACAGATCATGTCAAGAAGGGGAACTGCCAACACTGGCACATGTAAAATCCTGAACTGGGAACTCCCCTACAAGTCTGCATCAGAATTGGAACACTGAAATTGGGGCTACAGGCAGTTCAGCACAGGCAAGTCTGCAGCACATAGCAGCATTTGTTTGGGTGAGGCCTGATCACATGCTGGCACATAGGAGAGCCTGGACAGGATATGTGCTGTGCCCAGATGAGCGGTATCGATGTATGTGCCAGGTTCAGGTTGGCTGAAGCGCCTGCCAACAAACACAAGTCCCATGAAATTGTAACAGGCCTAGTAGGGAAGCTCTTGAGACATGCTTGCTGGGCTAAAGCTCACACTTGTGTGCAGACCATGCTGGGCAAGGCCACAGCACCCATTAGCATGCATCTGGGCTGGTCTGGGGAAAGGTCTGTCTGGTACAGGACCCAACACCCACTAGTTTGTAGGAGCCATCCTCTGAGGACACATTCAACATCCCACACTGGCCCACAAGAGCTGGCTACCATATCTTCCATGATATCCACAAATCAGGCATCAACAACTTAGGAGACACAGTCTGAACACCTGCAATAAAAGGTTAAAGGCCAGTGATCTAGTTGGGGAGTCCTCCAAGAAATCTCACTCAGGGTGACTTTAGGTTTGATTCCTGTGTGCATTAGCCAGGACAGGGTCAATTTAGTCTATCACCTACACCAGCCGAAGGACATACTGGTGCCCAACCTTAATTTGCATGTGAAGTAATGGATGCTGTGGCCAAGCAACAGGTACATCCTGGCAGGGAAGTGCCCACAGTTTCCATTACCAGACATGTTCCCAGCAAGATCTTGTACCTAACAATGACTGCTGCAATGCTGGCTGAAAGGACTCACATCTAATCCTGGCACTTGTCAGCTGGGCTGTGTCCTAGCTTAGCTGGCCTGCACCCTTTCTGGCTCTTGTGTTTGCCAGTGAGTATTGTAGCCAGCCCAGCCAGTCCCACACCCTAACTGCCCCACCACCAGTCCCAGCTCTCTCACATTTACTGGAAGCAGCAGCCAACAAGAGAGTCTACAAAGGTACCCTGCCATGGGTACTCTTAACCCCATGTCTTGTGTGTGTCAGCAGGTGCTATAGGCCTGACTGAGATGGCCCAATTAAATAATGTTATTTTACTTTCATTTTAATATGTATTTGTCTTATTTAAATTAATTATCAAAAAAGACATTTGAAAAATATTTTCATTTATCTAAGTTTATGAGAATTAATATCTGTGAAATTGTATTCACATCTCCTTAAGTATTATCATATGTCAATACTGAGAAACATAACTAACTGTGTTTGAAATATTTACTAAATTATTGTAAGCTATGCCATAAAATATTAACTAAAACATATTAGTCACAAGCCTAGCATACAACTAACCATTAAATTCAGTAAGTCAAAATTGAGAGAAATCACATTTTTCCAGGAATACAAACAACAATCTAATCTCAGGATGCTATTTCCATTTCTATATTATTTTTGTATTAAGCATTAACTACATCTTACTAGGAGAAACACACGATAATTGTCTTTACAAACTGGCTTTTCTCACTGAGCAAAATGTTTTAAGGTGAGAAACTAAATGGTGGCTATTAGAGAGAGGATTCACCTGAGTCCATCATGGTCTCTTGGGAAACACCTGCAAGAAAATGGCTTTCTGCTTTGGCCAGGGTCTTTTGGGGCCAGCAGATGCTTAGAGGTCAGAGCTGCTTAATGAGCAGGTGCCAGGAGCTGTAAGTAGCTCCTCTGCTGTGTTCCCTCAGAATGTACAATCTTGGGCTAGAAGCAGCCTGCTTGTTGCATTTGGGGTCCTGAGTCTGGTTCAGGGATCACAGCTTCACTCCTTCCCTCTGCTGTACCTGGGACAGAGGTTAAGTCTGCAGCATCCACCATCCCGGGAGGAATTTGTATCCATAAATACTTCACCCACAGTTCCCATGCAGGTGAGCTTGGCAGTTATGACTTCAGGGGTCCCAGGGTGTGCACACAGAGAGCTTTCCCTGGCAAGAAGCAAGAACTGAATTAATCTAGCTGGCACTTCCTGTAAGCTCTGGTGTTCTTTGCATTTAACTAATGGACGGATTTTTAGTTATTTTTGAAGTAAAGCAAAAATGTTGGCACTGCTAGGGCAATGATCATTGAAGATACAGAAAAGAAGTTATGAAAAGATTAATTCTAATAGACAATGGAAAGCCTAAGTTGCCTAGGGTACCTATAGCCAACTTTGCAGTATTTGGAGATCTGGGGAAATATAGGAGGAATTTTCCATGCGGGAGGACTTGTGGTATAGTGAAGTTATATCACTTTTCTAGTGCAAAGGAGCTTGGTTATTTGAAAAACTTATTAAAGACCGGATGAACACAACCCCTGGTCCTGGAATAACCTCTGCAGACTGGAACATCATTCTATCAATTCGGGTTGTTGACTAAGATGGGGGTGTAACAGACTATTCTAGTATTGACAGGAAAGGGCCAGGAGAGAAGCTTGTATGGAAATCCTGATGGTAGCAATTACTGGAACACTCATGTGTCAGGGTCTTCTGTCTTCTTTCACACACTGCTCTCACATTACTTAATGCTAACTTATAGATGCAGTAAGAAGGACTCTTTCAAAGACACCTGCATCATAGTTATTACATCATTTGTTGGATACACATGATGGTTTCCAGCCACTTGTCTTTTCTCCTACACTTTCAGTGCTTTCCCCTGGTGTGGTACCAGGTGAGAGAGTTTTATTTCTCTCTTCATTGTCTTCTTTACCTACAAAGATTGGCCATTGTCAACAGCATATTTTTTGCCACGGAGTCCTTTGCTGTGAACTTAAGTGTGCTTCAGTGGTATGAAAAATGTGTTTACAAAGTCATTTGTTATGCTGCAAAATGTCTGACACAAAAATAATCTATACTTAGGAGAGGTCATCAAAATTTGGAGAACTCTCTATTTTGAAAAGCCATGCTCAAAATTAATGTATCTTTCAGGTGCATGTCCCCATTCATTTATGTAGATCACTTCACTAAAACTGAAGAGGACATGTAAAAGCTTGTATTTTTCTGTTGTTAAAACCATAAACACACCCTGGGATCAAACCTAACTGTTATTAATTCTACAAAAATTTATTGCTGCGAACTGAGTTTCGGTAAGTCAGTTATATATGTAGCCAACCTGTTCCATGTTAAGCTGTTCTTGTCATTTGACATTCTTGGTGATTCCTCTTTGTTTAGCATGATTGAGTCATTTACTCAAAGTCATGACATTTCTGACTTCAGTTGCACCATGTGGGGGAAGATCACTTCATTTTCATAAGCAGAATTAAATCCCAGAATCACTTAAGATTCTTGGAAAAACACATCTTCCCATTGTTTCTAGTTCATATGTGGAATTGGAAATTCAATGAAAAGTTTGTAACCACTGAGGAAAAGATGTTTCTCAACTGGTCAAAGAACACTGCAATAAACGCAAGATGTATTTGATGATTAAGGGAAGGATTGAAGTGGAACTGAATTCTAATGAAGTGATGCCACTGTGAGGGAAGAAATTGGACCTGAACCATCTCAAAACGTGTGAGGCACATTCTGAAGTGAAAACATGCATTTTGAATTTCAGCTCTGTTGGGTAAGTCTATTGTGATTGAATAATAAACTGTATCTTCCTGATAGTGAAATGCATGACATGAAACTAAGAAACCAAACTCGGCTTTCAGAATTCTCCCTCCTGGGACTTTCAGAAAACCCAACTCTACATCCTCTCGTCTTTGGGCTCTTCTTCTCCATGTACCTGGTCACTGTAAGTGGGAACCTGCTCATTATCCTGGGCATACTCTCAGACTCCCACCTCCACACACCCATGTACTTCTTCCTCGCCAACCTGTCCTTGGTGGACGTCTGCTTCACTTCCACCACCATCCCCAAGATGCTGGTAAACATCCAGACAGAGAGCAAAGTCATCAGCTATGCAGGCTGCATCACACAGATGTTCTTCTTCATAATCTTTGCAGGATTGGATGATTTTCTTTTGGTTGTGATGGCCTATGACCGGTTTGTGGCCATCTGTCACCCCTTGCGCTACACAGTCATTATGACCCCCTGGCTCTGTGTGCAGCTTGTTCTGTTGTGCTGGGTCATTGGTGTCCTCCACGCCTTGTTAAACAGCTTACTGGTGCTGAGGTTGAGCTTCTGCACACACCTAGAAATCCCTCACTTCTTCTGTGAGTTGAATCAAGTGATCCACAGAGCCTGTTCTGACACCTTTCTCAATGACCTCATAATGAATTTTACAGCTCTATTGCTGGGAGGAGGTCCCCTGTCTGGGATCCTCTACTCTTATTTCAAGATCATCTCCTTCATCCGTGCCATCTCATCAGCTCACGGCAAGTATAAAGCCTTTTCCACCTGTGCTTCTCATTTCTTGACCATTTCTCTATTTTATGGAACAAGCTTAGGTGTGTACCTCAGTGCCAGTGCTGCCCCAAGATCAGCCTCAACTGCAGCAGCCTCGGTGATGTACACCGTGGTCACTCCCATGCTGAACCCCTTCATCTACAGCCTAAGAAATACAGACATGAAGAAGGCTATGAAAAGACTTTTTATCCATAAATGATAGTGGAACCCACAGTGTTGTGACTGAGCAGTGTAAGCGACTTCCTGCGTCAACCTCAGAATCAGACACCACCTCTTCAGAGGAGGAAGCAGAGCTTGCTTCGTCTGTTCACTGCCCTTTTTATTATGTTTTAATCATTAATTCCTCTGCGTACAAGGCAAATGAATGATCATTTCGTTCATTGTTTGTTGTCTCTAACAGCACACAATTTCTTTCTATTTTTTCCATTTCTCCCACATTATGTGTCAACATCGTTCCAGAAACAAACGAGATCTAAAATTTTATGCAGAAATAGAAATGCATGAGAAGTTAGTCTATGTGCTAAACAACATTTAATTCCATGCATATTTTACTGTGTATATACTACGTTTATACTTCATGGTTATACTTTGTAGTACTTTCTTTTAACTTCAATCTGAATTTGCCCTTTGCACAACTGGCCTCTTTCAGTTTGCCTAATGTTTTCAGTTGCACTAAATTTATTACAAAAAAGTAAGATTTCATTCTTTTAGGTGCTGGCTGGTAATCTACTTTATATGTACATCAGATATCTGTGATGGAATGTTAATTAGCAAAACAATTACACTTGCCTCTGAATTGTTTGAGGCGAAGTGTACAGAATTGAAATGTCCACATTTCTCATGATATGATTTCTTGTGAAATAACATCTTATAACACTATTCCCTGTTCTCCTCCTTAGCTGTTAGTTTAGTTTTTGATAATAATTCTAGTAAGAATCTTGAATGTCTGAATCAGTCCAAATAATAATATATGTATTTTAGGTTTTTTTAAATATGTGATAGTAATGTACAACACCCACAAAAAACCACAATATGTAAGAATGAAACTGGCCTAAAATGCACTGCATATGCTAGCAGACACAGGACCCACAGCTGTAGGGTTGGTCCAATGGCAGTTTTGGGTTTCATTTTCTGGGTTGCTGTTCTGTCTGTGGTACATGAGGGCTGAGCTTGTCTTGAGCAGGACTGGGCATGGCCACAGCTCCCACTGGTTAGCTAACCATAAAGGGCAGAACAAATTGATCACCAATCCCAGTGCAACTTGACAGCATATTTTTGGACAAAATGAGATTCAGAAGTGGACTATGACAGTCAATCGAGCTCAGAAAGATTTCCTCATCCTTGGAGTGGCAATGCAAGCAGCATCTCAGAAGTAGCAAACACAAATGAACAGAACCCTCAGAAAATGCTTAATGGGGACCCTGGGAGGACACTGGGTGGCAGGTCCCCCCATCCCTGGGGTAATGTGGTGGTTGGGAAGCTGGACATGGTGTCTCCTCTTGTATCACCCTCTCCTCCATCTACAGGCAGAGGAAGAAGAAAATGTGTCAACAAGGGTCACACCCACTACCCCCTGATCCTCGATACTTCCCACCTTGATAAACAATGTAAACATTACCACTAATAAAATGAAATTAGCATCTGGTAATTTGATTGCTTTATTAATAATTATACTGCTTGCCTATATATGTATATATTGCTGTATAGCAGTAGTTTCTGCATTTTAACTGTCTGTGTTAATGATTAAATATTTGAGATTACATTACTGATAAAGAAACAAGGAAGGAAGGGGATATTGAGGCAGGAATATGTGACAGGTTTAGATGTTTATTTATGAAATACATGACATCTGTTCTGTTTATAGCCCTAATTTTTAAAAAAAAATAATTAATATTATTTTACTTGATGTTAACCTGTTGATAGAGTGGGGCAAGACAAGATTTTGGGAAAAGTGGGTGTGACCTTTGTTTTTGAATTTTCTCTTTCTCCTTTCTGTTTCAGGGGATGGGTATATAAAGGGACAAGCCATGCCCAGCCTCCCAACCACCCCAATACCCAGGATTGGGGAAACATAGCCCAGTACCAATGCAGGTTCAATTGTGAAACACACTCTGAGGGTCTTGACCAGGTGATATTGACAGTTCTGAAATGTTGACAATCTCAACAATCTAAGTATGATGGAGCCCTTTCAATATCCTTTAGCTGGCATAGTCACCTCAGAGTTTTCATTTGATCAGATATATACAGCCATCATTTGGCTGGGTAGTTATCCAACTTCTTCTGTCTTGCTTTCCTGGGATAGTACAGATGTTCCCTGCAGGGCTCATTGGGCTGCCATGTCCTCCATGTGGATCCAGGCCAATGTCTGCTACACTGTCTTTTCTGCTATGGAGGATCTGCTCTCACAGAGAGGTCAAGGGCCCAAGCAAGTTGTCCTAGGACCAACCAAACACACACCACCGTGCTCATGGAACTGATACCCACAGCACAGGTGGGCCCAAAACCCAGGCCACATGACTTGGACCCTATGGATCCCACCCACCCAGGGCCCAGAGACCCAACACCCACCATGTAGGCAGGCCTAGAACCCAGTCCAGGAGACCAGAACCCAACTGATTCCCCACTGCCAAACCCAGAGACATAACATCCACCAGGTAGCCAGGCCAAGAACACAGGCCTGGTGACCCAAACCCTTCTGGGACCCCAGGACACAAGATGCACCTTAGGGACCACAGACCAGGTAGCCACCTTTCAGGCAGACCTAGGACACCCTGCCAGATCACAATTCCCGGCATCTGAGGGACCTAACGTGCAGGCAGGACAAGGCATCAGACTAGGAAACCCAGGTCCCACTGGATACCCTGCTGCTGGAGCTCACAGGTCTGACATCCAACATATAGCTGGGCCAAGGACCCAGAACAGACACCCAAACACTACCATATCTGATGCACCCAGGGCTCATAGACCTGTACCAGCCACAGAGGTGGACCAAGAAACTGAGCCAGGTGACCCAAATCGGCTTGAAACCCCATCTTCGGTTTTCACAGACCTGGCAATAACTATGTTGATTGGTTAAGAGGCTGAGCCTGGAGACCTGAATCCCGCCTGACCCCCCAATCCAGCTTTCACCCATCACTCACCATTCATATAATTTAATATTACCCTTCTTAGTGCTGGGAAAGAGATTTTGGGAAAACTTCTGTTTCTTCATTGGAACTTTGAGTATTCTTCCTACTCATAGTAAGACCATGCATTATCATAAACCTGTCCTTGGGCAGAGTACTGTAACTTCGCAGATAAAGTTTTCACCATGAATGTACCAGGATCCAATATGGGCATGGGTTCTTATCCTGGCAGGCCCTGCCTCCCATCCACCTTTCTGCTTTTTGCCTGCTAAAGAAATTGAGGATGGCCCAAAGATTTGGGACCCTGCACCCATCTGGGAGATCTGGAAAAGGATCCTGGCTCCTGGCTTTGGATCATCACAGCTCCAGCTGTTCTGACCACTTTTTGATGAGTCAACAGAGAGAAGATATTCTGTCTCTCCTTCTGTCCATATATCTGACCTTGCAATATAAAATAAATAAATCTTTAAAATATATATTAGTTTTCTTTATCAAATAATGTTAAAAGTTTAAAAATCTAGGTGACCAATTTTTAAAATTAAATTGTGTGCCTAAAAAAGATGCACACATACAGACACAGAAGTCCACATACATTTTGAGGATATATTTTTTACCAGGATTAACTTTCCTGTGTCACATGTTTATTTGTCTTTTACTTAGAGTAGGAGAGAAAAAGAAATAGACAGATTGAATGAAAAAGACAGATTTGCTGTTAACTAATCGGTGATCACAGCTGAAACTAGACCAGATCAAAGCACATGGAGGGCACAGGCCCAGTCATGCAAGCCATCTTCCACCACTATTTTAGGCTCATTACAAGGAAAATGAGTCAGACATAGACACAACTGCCAAGGGTGCCTGTTCCCAAGGTAAATATTACAATGCTTAGAGAAAGGCAGCTAGTAGCTGGTCGGCATTCTGGGCCGGGTAATGCCAAATCTGTGTTAACTATAGCAGTATGTCAGCAGATTAATCATTTTTATTCAAGCTTTGATTATTCATTTTATTCTTTTCTCTTTTAAAAATGAAAAGTGCAAAAGCTGGGGAACTCCAGGATGGGACATGTTACTGTGGTCTCCAGGCAGGTTGGTTGCAGTGTGTCAGGAGAAGGAAGCCTGTGGACATGTTGGAGAAGGAGTGGCTGTGGGAATGTTGGGCAAGAAGAATGACTTTTGGGGTCTTCCAAATACTGGGCTACTCTACCAGCAAGAAAACTGGTAGGGAGAAACTGTTTACTCAGAAAAACCAGAGCGCATATCTGAGTCAGACCAAAGCACCAGCCCAGGTGGGAGTCCTGCCCTGGATTAGTAGCAACAACTGCTGCCTGCTGGTGCAAAAAAGTCTGGTGATAGTGGGCATGCGTGTCTGGACTAAGCCACAGTAAATCTCTCTGAGTGTCAGAACAGGGATGGGCCAAATGAGGAGGGAGCACAGCACTCAACAGAATGCAAAAAAAACTGAATTTAGAGGTCAATTCACTAGGATATGATGGGCTCAGCTCTGTGGGATCACAGCACCTGCCTGACTACATGAGCAGGTGCCTAGAGCTATAAGTAGCTCCTTTGCTGTGTTCCCACTGACTGTGCAACCTTGGACTATAAGGAGTCTAGTTGTTGCATTTGGTGTCCTGAGTCTGGCTCAGAAATGAGTGCTTCCCTCCTTAATCTTCCATGTCTGGGATGAAGTTTCAGTCTCCACAATGTGACATCCAGGGAGTTATTTGGGCTTCCACACATTCTTCTCCTCCCACAGTTCCCATACATGTAAGTCAGAATGAACTTAGAGGGGCCCTGGAGTGTGGACAAAGAAAACATTCCTTGGCCTCACACATGAGCTGAACTAACCTGGCTAGCAACCCCAGAAATGTCTGGGATTCTTGTGTATTTAACTAATGAATGTCTTTCTTCGTGATTACCAAGCACAGGAAATTATTTGGATGTCCTAAAAGAGTGGTCATTATTGCTGAAGAAATTATGGCAACAGAAGATTAATTCTGATAGGCAATGAGTGGCTTAAACTGCCTAGACTGGATGGAGCCAACATAGTGGCATCTGGATATCTGGGGGAATAGAAG